ACACACACACACACACACACACACACACACACACACATTACAACAGAAACGTTCTGCTCAGTCTGACACTAATCATTTCTGTCGTCAACAGGTGACGCAGGGTTCCGACCCCAGTGCGCTGGTTGCCATGGATACCACGACAGTGTTGTACACCCGTGCCCAGCAGCGATATTTCAGCTCGTACTCCCCCGTCATTGGATTTTATATCTATGAAAGCGCCCCCTACTGGAATGCCTCAGTGCAGCGGGACCTGCTGGAATACGCCAAAGGCTTCCAGAGAATCAGCTGGCTGGAGGCCTACCTGAACTACCTGTCAGACCGCAACCAGTCCACCAGCCAGCCGCGGGAAAACTTCACCCGCACACTCCGCCACGCCTTCCTCCACGAGCCGCAGTTCGCCCACTTCGCAGACGACATCATATTTGCAGAGCGCGGTCAGGGCGAGGAGCCGGATGTGGCCGCGTCGAGGATCTTCCTGGTGGCCAAGACGACGGAGAACAAGCGCGAGGAGATGTCAGTACTGCTGGACACGCTGCGGCGCTTGTCGCTGACCTCGCGTGTTCGCTTCCTAATCTTCAACCCCTCCTTTGTCTACCTGGACCGCTACGCTGCAGCGGTGAGCTCCCCCCTCAGACACTCACTGCTGGCGGTGCTCTTCCTGTTGGGTCTGTCCTCGCTGGCCGTCGTGGAGCCGCTGGTCTCCGTCTGGCTGGGCCTCACCCTGCTCTCCGTGCAGTTCGGAGTGCTGGGCTTCATGACCTTATGGGGCGTGGAGCTGGATTGCATGTCCGTGTTGTGTCTGATCTCGGCGTTGGGACACTCGGCGGACTGCAGCGGCCCCCTCCTCTGTGGCTTTGCCTCGGGTCGGGGCGAGAGCAGGACTCGCTGGGTGAGAGTGGCGCTGGAGAGACACGGAGTTCCCTCTCTACAGACGCTCATCTGCTACAGCGCCGCCCTGGTGCCTGTTGGCTCCATGCGGTCCAACCTCACACATACACTGTTCCGCTGCCTCACCCTCACGGCCGGCTGCTCGGCGCTGCACACGCTGGCGTTCCTGCCCACCCTCCTCACCTTCCTGCCCCCCTCCAAGACCCAGGGCCAAGGGCCTGGAGGAGAGGGGCCCAGACAGGAGGTGGAGTGTGTTGAAATGAACGACAGCACACGAGTGGTCGACCAGATCACCACAGTCTGATCATAGGGTGATTTTGTTTTTTTTCAGGCCCCTGGTTGCCATGGTGACTGGTGAGCGGTTGATTGTAGTAGCCGCTGTGCACGCTGCAGAGAAGAATGAAGAGAGGAAGAGGGGAGGAGATGGGAGGAAGAACAGAGTGTGAAGGTCGAGAGAGAAGCGAAGGAGAGTAGGAGGCAAGTAAAACAACGACAGGTTTCCAGCGCAGTGTATCCATGGTTACCTGCTTGTTGCTAGCGCTGTGTGGCATGTTAATGAGGCTTGATTTCTTAAGTAGCCAATCAGGCGTGGATGATCGGCTGAGGTCAGGCCCCTGGATGTGACCCTACGACAGTGAAAGTGTTGCACTTTTCACTTGTCTCCAAAACTTTGCTTTGTATCCGATCACATCGTTTGGCTCCTGCTTTCTGTCCACATTATCAAGTTGCACAAATTCAGCTACAATGACATGAGGCAATCATCTGTATAACTCCAGTATTTCTACTTTAATTCTGGACAAATAAAATCAAATGAAGGAAACTTGGTCTTCAGCTGTGATGTTTTGAACACTCATGTTTTTTTTTGGGTCATTTATTTTATTAGATTTTATGAAACGTCATCTCCTATACTTGACATGGATTGGTTCTGTCGATGAATGTGCGTCTGACATCAGCAAGTTGTAAATATGGGTTTTGCTTTCACTAACTTTTTGAATAAAGTGCATATCGACAATGGAGAGAAATAATAAACCTACTGTAATAAGATGCTATTACTACCAGCAACATTAACGTTGTTTAAACATCATGGAAACAATCCTACGAGACACTTCCTCTTCTTTTTAATCTTCTATTGTTGAATGCTGTCTCAACTTCCTGCAACTGGTCCAAAAGGGGAACTTTTCACACCTGTCATTTTGGTTCCGATCGAAAACGATCGGTGTGAAAGTGCCCACGGAGCTAGATCTCATCAGAACATCGCTGACAAACCAAAAGACCAGAGTAAGTCACAAAAATATTTTCTATTGGTTCCCTCACCCAGATGTGAAGATACAGATGGACGTGTTATTCACAGTGTATGTTTGATGGATGAGTTTGCAGTGACACATTTTCCCTCGTCGCTGTAAATTCATTACTGTTTCAAAGGTTTGAGGAACCAACAACCGATGGAAGTGTTGTTCTCTTTCATCCTCCTGTGAATGTCACCCCCCCCCCCGAAGCGAAGGAGCTTGTTGCCTTTTTATTCCTGAATGCGTCTCAGTGGCTGAAGGTCTGTGAGTGCTCGCTATTGTTGATCCACGCTCCTCTCTGACACTCGGCTGAATGAAAGTATTGTTCGGGCTCTATACAGGCGTCACAGCCGGATGGTTTCCTGTAAGAGCACGTGCATGAGCTTCAAGGTGAAGGATCCACCAGCTGTGGGCTGCTTCACCCTTGGTTCTTACAGTGCTTAGAAAATTACAGGGGCTGCTCTATAAAAACACTAACTTTCCAGAAATACAAAATGGAAAACGTCTTCATTGCGCAACGAGCTGTGACTAAAAACTCCAGGCTGCAAAGTAATGGAGAAGTGTTTAACTAATGACCCTTTCAAACCAAAGATTGAGTCCTCAGGGCGAGAAACAGGATTGGGAAACCTCCGACACCTCCCACGCGCTGTCACTCCTGTTGACGTTTCACTGTTGCGTTTCACAAGTACAGTCGAAGAAGACAACAGGCCTCTGGGTGCAGGACGGAACAGACGTGTAAAATGTCACTGCAGATTTCCGTCATAGGAAGAAGACACCAGGACACAAATGACATCCTGTGTGTCTTCGTTGTTGTGTTGTTGCTGTTTTTCAACTCTTTGTCTTCATTTTGTGTTTGCTTGTCGTTGTCTTGGCCGTGTGTGCGTCTCCTTTGGGTCGTACTGGGTCACCTGAAAACCATTCAGTCCAAGTCGCACATATGCAAATCTATAATGTTCTCAGACAAAGCTTCACCTGTTCTGGATGGTGTCATTCCTACCAAACCACAATGAGTTTCAATAATTGGCAGACGAGCTTGACGTGAGAAATTGATCAGTCGACCTCGATCTGTGCCAACACACTCACACGCACGATGACGAACCCGCCCAGAAGTGCTGCGTCACTGGAGCAGAGCGGTAACGTGCCGCAGCTCTGCTCCGCTGATCTGACACTGTTTTGTTATCCCTCAGTAAAAATGAACAAAGGCTGATACTTGAGCCCCAGTGGAAAATACAGGAACCACTGTAGTCTTCATCGCCCCCTTGTGGCAACAAGGTGGTCAACTACTGAATTTTCTAGACGCCCTCTCACCACACATACTCACAGTCCAGTCCGTTAAACAAGTCCTCTTTATTAGACTGGGTAAACACATGTCGGTCCCCACAACATGAGTACAACTCGCTCCGCTCATACAGACGGCGGGCTGCAGGAAAGTAAAGCACACTCTGATTTGAAGAGTCGCCCCGAGGCTGCTCTCGTGTTGTTTGGTTTCATTTTACAACAGGTTCCATTCCTCAAATTCACAAATTCACAGCCCGGCCACCTGCATGTGAGTGTGTGTGAGAGTGTGTGAGAGTGTGTGTGAGAGTGTGTGAGAGTGTGTGTGAGTAAGACACAAAACATGAAGCAGAAGATGTTCAGCCAGTTTGTCAACAATGAATTCAACAATGCATACTTGATCCTATTGTGGCATTTTTCTTTATTTTTGTTTTTGCAATCTGCTGCTCATCTCCATCACCAAGCTTTATGTCTCATGGACACACACACACACACACACACACACACACACACACACACACCAGATAAAGGCTATAATACCCTGTCCGGGATCTGTCTGACCCTGTATCCTGTAATACCAGCTGCTGCCCTCCAGTCCCACTGAGAGAGAAAAAGACGTGGACACATGTAAGGAGAAATACATTCAGATACATTCAACATTTGTCCAACTTTGGTCATTGTCTTTCTCTGTCCGTCTCGTCCCTCCTCCCTCTCGTCTGGAGGTGTGTCATTATTACGTCTACAGTCTCGCTTGAGCAGACACATTTCAGAAATCCTGATCCTGATTTCCTGCATGCAACTACATGCCGCAGACGATGCTTTTATGTAAGAGACAGGTGGATACAGGGGGGACGGCGAGGGGCAAGTGAGGACAGAGACGAGGGAAGAAGGGATAAGGAACCATCACCAGGGAAGAGAATAAGGAGAGGAAGACAGAGAGATATCTTGGCAGTTTTGGACTCATGAAAGGAGGATGAACGAGAAGACAGCGGAGGGATGGAGGGACCAGAGCAATATGTGATGACAAGTCCTCCTCCATATAAATCACACACATACGTATAAACACTGGAGATGCATCTAAAAAGCATCAGGTAAGAATTTTTAAAGACTTCTTTCCAGGTATAGTAAGTTTTCTAACTTCACTCTGCACACAAACAGTAAAAAGTGACAGTGTATTTCAGAAGTGTTTGAGGACGACTCACTAAAGACGAGGACTAATTCTGAAGTATCAACACAGGAGAGGAAAACACAACATCATCTAAATTCTATGAATTGTAGTTTTCTTTACCCCAGAAAAGACCGTTTATATTTAAATACTTTATATTTAAATACTTTATATTTACATGGAGGGGACCCTCTCTACGGAGGCCACCATGTTTTTTACATTAGTCCAGACTGGACAGACTAAACACCTTTTGAGTTTTATGACAATTAAAGTCCACCACAGGTTCTTTCTCATGTTTGGAAGGAGAGGGTGAGGTGAGGGGTGTTCAGCCGCAACGTGCAACTTCAACACTAGATATCACAAAATTCTACCCACTGCACCTTTAACACATTAAAGGTTGCGTCTTTGTTTTTGTAACCACGGTAAAGCAGTGGCTCTGCGGAGGATCAGGAGAGACAAGAAAAATTCAAGAAATGTCTCCACGTTGTTTTCTCTTCATGCTTTTCTTAGACTTCAAAGACAGTCAGACTGTGGGAACAGAAGTTAAAGTAGGACAATGGCTGTGTAGTCTGTGTGTCGCCGTGAGGCTTTTGAAAGGTCGAGTTTCTGTTTCCGACGTGACACACATGATAATCACATGTAAATGTACAGTTCTGTCACAGCAGCAAAGTATTGATGATTATGATATTGAGGACGTTACTCGACAGAAACCAACCTGCTGTCTGAGTTAAACTTAAATCTGCACTTTAATTTAATTTGTAGGAAATCTTTCAGTAAAGTGTCAAATGAGACGAAATAAGTGACACATTCATTTTAAACAGATTTTTGTACCCCAGCCAGCAAACCCTGTGTGTCTGCATTTCTTTTTAATCCCATGGAACTGCAGACACTCCCTGTAATGCAAAAAAATCAAGACGTGTATAAATGTATACGCACATATTCCTTTAATGCTTTGGTAATGACTCCATTTACTTTAATTAACGTGCAGGGCTGAGGGTGAGGCTATGATAAGAGAACAAGGCTGAAGGAACAGTATGTTTGTACCAAAAGTAAAATCATTTGAAGAAATCATTATTCAACCAACTGCTGCTACACCTGAAGAGCAAACTAATGCAGCGAGCACACCAGACAATTAGTTCAGCTCTTTTTATGGACATTGCAAAAATAAAGGCCCCTCGTCCTGATTTCCTTAATATTTACTGGTATAAAGATAAAGTTAACCAAACTGCAAAGACCTTTTCATGTAAATATTGCATTTATTTACATTAAATTAGGAAAATGTGTTATGAGGGAATCATCACCAAGATGAAGGATTTTTATATAAACAATTCATCAAAGTCTAATTAGACAGCATTAGCCATAATAACTTGATATGTCATGGTTGTGGTATCAGCTGCTGTGCACAAAATGTAATAAAGGAGATTTCATAATTTCACATTAACATAAAGTCAAACAGTCAATGATGTTTCTGTTGAATTTCCCTTTTTTAAGCATCTAAGTGACAAAGCATTCTGTATTATATCAAAATCTTATGGGTGTTAACTGAAGCGTATCAACAACATGGCAACAATAACCTGTAATTTATAAAGGTGTGAATTTAGCGAACTGTAATCCAATCTGCTGCATCCAGCCCTGCCCTGCAGTCCATCCCCGCTGCAGACAAAGCCACAGATAAAATTAGATAGTTTTAGTTTACCAGCTCTGAATTTCTGTGAAATCCCAAAGCAGGAATATACACTGTAATAATATCTAGAATAACATCGGCTGCATTCAAAGATAGGAACAGGGACATGGGAGGAGGAAGGTGGCAACACACACAGTCGATTTTGTTTTCAACCAAAGAACATTGGACATGAGATTCAAATATTTGGCAGAGCCGTGACCGAGTGACGTAAAGAGGAAGAGCCTCGTCTCATCTAATGTGAATTTATTTCACATTTGTGTCTTCAGGAGGATGCGCTTCGAAGAACAGTGGGGATGGAAACACCATTTCCTTCTAGTCATCTGGTTCTTGCTGCTGGCAGCTGCTCCACCCAAAGGTACACGTCTGTTTAGAGATATTAGTTGTGATTATTGGTTTTACA